AATTTATTTTAATTAAAAATTTGAAAAGAAAAATATATCATTTTCAACATAATTTTGCTTTTCAATACACTTTGTCCTTATGTCAACAAGCTTTCCTAGTCCCTTATTTAAAAATGTTTTAGGCTGAACTGTGAGCCACAAATGCACCACTGTCTTCACTTCTTCATCAGAAGTGAATCTTCATCCTCCAAGGGCTGCTTTCAGGGCACCAAACATGTGAAAGTCCAATGGAGCAGGATCAGGACTATAGGGAGGATGCTTTAACACCTCAAAATGAACTTTTTGCAGAGTGTCAACAATGTGGGCAGCAGTGTGTGGACGTGCATTGTCATCCAAGTTCACAATGTCCTTGGTTAGTAGTTCTCTGTGTTTAATCTAAAGTTTAGGCTTCAGTTCTTCATTGGGCACTTCATTGAAATGGGTACTGTTGATTGTTGAAACATTTTCCTGATAGTGTTCCAATACTGGCCCTTGAGGATCCCAGAAAATGGTAAGCATCAATTTTCCAGCTGATGTTTGACTTTTGAACTTTGTCTCGGTCGGTGATTGAGAATGTTCCCATTCCATAATTCTGCTGTTTACGCTCAGGTTCACAGTGATTAATCCATGTCTTGTCATGAGTAACGATGTTTTTTAAAAAAAACTATTTTACTTTCCTCATGTATTGGTCTAAATTGTGTTTGCAGAGGTCCAAATACACCTATTTATGCTCTTCCATGAGTTGTCTGGTACCCATCTCACAAAAACATTCTGAAACCCAACTTTATAATGATTATGTCATAGGCAGAGCCATGCTGATTTACAAATGATTTGCCACATAATCCTTTGTCAGTCGTCTACTCAACAGAATCATTTTATGCTCCCTCTTAATACTGTCATCAGCCATGGATGTGGACAGGCATTCTAATATAACCAGAGTGTGGATAATTTTTGACTCATCCTCGTATAACAAGATAGTCAATAAATTAGAAGTAAGTGTATGTCTCAAAGAGAAAAGAGGATTGATTTAGGAATTTTCAATCTGGGATAATTTCTGCTCAAACTTCTTCCATAAATTTCCTAAATTATATTAAGCAAGTAGTTTAGCTAACTCTATTTTTTACTAGTAATTATAACTTTTTAACTAATTTAAAACTATATATTCCTTAAAGTGAATTTCAAATATATTACAAAATTAAAAATTACCCATTTCCAATGACCAGTTACCTTGATTCCCTCTTGATCATATACACATCTGTCTTCTAGGAAGCAGCCAGAATGGTCTTTTCAAAATGCAAAGCTGGCCATATTACCACTGTCGCAACCTCTTTGTTGCCACTTCCCCTATGGTACTAGAATAAAGACCATAATCCTGAATATCACCATTCAGTCTCACTTATCCCTTGTTCCTACCACTTGGTGTTCCAGCTGCACATGACCTTCTTTCAGGATCTTTACTATTCTCACATGACTTGACTTTACTACCACATGACCTATGTTCTTCCTGTCTGAAGGTACCTACTTACCTACTAGTAAATTACTCATCTTCATATTTCATCACTTTCTCAGAGAAACTCTCTAGGACCTCCCTAGTTAAGTCATAGGTGCTTTAATATTCACTATTTTTGGAACTATGTACCTCAATTTCTCAGCATTTACCAGAATTGCAACTTATTATTTTAAGAGTCATCATCTGCTTTTGATCACCACACGTGCCCTGAGCTCAGCACAGTACCTGGCATACATTTTTGTTAAGCATTGTCAAGTCACTTCTGACTCATAGAGACCCTTAATTTAATAAAACAAAACACTGCTTAGTGTTGTGCCAGCCTCACAATAGTTCTTGCTATTGTTGCTGTTAAGTGCCATCAAATCAGTTCCGACTCATAATGACCCAACATAGGGTTTCTGAGGAGCAGATGGTGGGTTTGAACTATCGACATAGTTCGTAGTCTAATGCTGATCTTAAAGCACCACACCAGAAGTCCACACAATAGTAGGTATATATAACTTAATAACTGTATTTTAAATGAAAATAAATATGAGGTGGCTTTCAAAACTTCATTAAAAAATTCCATTATCTTATTATTGACCTATAGATTGAAAAAATATATGTCAAAAATTTCACAAGGGAAATTCCTTTTTCTCTGAGGTTCATTCTTCTCCTTGTATTTCCTATATTAATAATAAATCATCCTACCTAAACAACATTCAAAGTCACAAACCTAAGTATCTTCTAAGAAGTTTTCAAATCCTGTTAAATTCTACCTTCGTAGTATCTTTTAGATTTATTCTCTCTTAACTCCTTTGGTTTAGATGTCCATTACTTCTTATATACACCCTGCCAATTATCTTTGCAGGGCTTTCTCCCTCTGACCCTACCTCTGTCTAGTCCTTATCCAGTGGGCTACCAAAATTAACTAAAGCATATTATTTCTCTGCTTCAATCTACTAAATAACTCATTTCTCTGAAGATAAAATGAATAAAAAGATCAATGAATAAATGATTAAATTACTAAATAAAATATAATAACAAGACATATGTGTATTGGTTGTTGAATATATCTCCAGTATAATATTGAACCTCCCAACATCCTATATAACAATAGAGTCTCAAACACATTATGTTGGCTCAAGTCTCTATATATTTTCTCCGAGTGTTGTTTCTGTTCTTTCTCAAAGGGTGAACTCCTCTACACCTTTCAGTCTCCATCTCAAACCTTAACTTCTCCAGAAAGTCATTCCTGCCCTTCCAAAGACAATCTCTCCTACCATCGTTGTCACCACATGCATCAAGTCTACCTCTAATGGGATACTATCAAACTACATTCTGTTTATTCGTTTTCCCTCTTACTTGACTGTGAGCTTTAGACTGGGACCAGACTTTATTATCTTGTTTGTTTAATAGCAGTCTCTTAAGGCATTTAGTAAACATGCAAAAATATTTTCGAATGAATGGATATATACTTATAAACTTCTACATGAAAACATATTAGTATTCCTTTAACTATACATGTAAGTTTCCTAAACTTTCTCTGTTAAGAGTGCTATTTTCAGAGGAGACTGTAATCATTGCAATGAAACGATGAGTGTAAAACTGATGTTCCCCCATGTAAACTACCATTCAATTCACAATTTAAAAAAAACAATAAAACATTATCCCAATTTATCACTCAACTTTCATTAAACTAAAATAACATAGTCAACAGAAGCATAAAATACACAAGAATTTTGCAGTTCATCTGGTAAAAGACTTGGGTATCTGTAAACAGTTTTCCTGTTGTTTATTAGGTAAATGTAAATATTGTCCTCAGAGTTAAATATGTGCCACGTATATCCTAGAGTGTGCATGTATGTGTGTCCATGTACATGTGTAAGTACAAACACATAAAGAGCACGTATAGAACTCAATAACTAATATGAGCACACACACACATTATACAATACAGGAAAATTATTCTTGCAAGGTTTAACTGAAAATAAACAAGTATATGTTGAATGCTTCATACAGATAGCCTCTTACATTTAAGAGAAAACCTTTTGGCTAGCAAGGCAGCAAGTTGCAGTAGGAAGAGCCCTGCAGTTCTGGAGACCAAGCTTCTGCTCCATCTACATTTATTCCTTTGACTTTTGTGCAAGATAATTGTTTCTCTGCTCACCAAGAATGTTTTAAGAGCCTTCCACCTCTAAGATTCTATTTCTGACACCTAAATTTCATTTAAAATCAGTGTAACCTTGTGGAAAAGCAATTTAATAGCCATAATGTAAATTTTCAACAGATCTTCTCTATTACAAGAAAATAAACATTACTTGGTCATATTCCTTGCTAAGAAATCCTTCCTACAGATCTCCCCCATCCCTGGGAAATGGTTGATTCTCTGGAAAATAAAAAGGTAAAAGTTAATTAATTGGTTTAATGAATACATTCATTTATACTAAAATGCAGTAAAATCTTTGAATTTTGTATTTTTAAATGTACCAGTAATTATTAATATAAAATATTTAACATTAAGTGACCTACAGTTAATTACTGTATACACAAGTATATGACTTTGTAAGGTCAGATATCTATAGCTATCTATATAGCTACACACACATATGATATATACAGGTATATGTTGTTATTATATAATATCAAGTTGGTCTCAACTCAGAATGATCCTGTATATGGTTCCCAAGGAACAGCTGGTGGGTTTCAATCACCAACGTTAAGGTTAGCAATCCAGTTGTTTAGTGCCAGTAGTTGGTGTTAAGTACCATTGAGTCAATTCCAACTCATAGTAACCCTGTATAGGGTTTCTAAGGAGCAAATGATGGGTTTGAACTGCCAACTTTGTGGTTAGTAGTCCAGTGCTTATTACAAATTATTTCCACTTCCTGACCTCTCCATGCAATCTAGTCCACATTACTCAACTTTAAGAGGAATGCAAAGAACCAGCGTAAGAAGAGTTATTGTCTTTTCTTCCTTAAAGACAGAAAGAGCTTAAAAGTAAAATTTGAAAAGAATCAGGTTTCATGCAGAGCTGATACAAATGGATACCAACAAAATGAGTAAATCAAGTGAGTGAGAACTGAAATTCAATAGGTCAGTGGATTAAGAATCCTATCTAAAGGAAATTACGGTAAAATTCATATTGCTTTCCTCATCACTAATATTTCATCATGAATAATTTCCCACCTGGTAATTTTGCAGCTCTGAAATCTTTTCCTGTTGAACCGCAGAATCACACCATATAAGGTTACTTGTTTCATCCTCATCTGGAGTTTTCAAAAATCCCATTTCATCTATTACTAAACGAACTGCAAGTAAACAGTTAAATTAAACTACGATGTTAAAATATTGGAAACATATTCATTGTGACACTTTGTGCTATATAAATAGTTTAGCTCACAGCATTTTACTTGCAAAATATCTATTCATTTTCTAGTATAATCTTATTTTTAGTTACAACAGTTTTACCCAATTATACTCAACAGTAACAGAGCTGTTTTTAAGTTACACCCCAAATCCCTAGTTTCAGTCATCTGAGATTTCAGCATGTCCAGAAAACTGCCAAAGGGTTTTGTGTTTAATGGCACAATGAACACACACACATAGTTGAGACAATACTTCTACTCAGAAAAATGTACATTTGCAGTTTTGTGACTGGGCTAGATACAAAAAGCAAAGGTATAAATAGCGCCTGGCAATCAGATTTATCCTATTCTCTCCTAATCTTTCACTCAAATTATTTTTAGTACTGAAAATAAAGTTGCCTTTGTTGACTCAGAATATGAAGTAATGAAGCAAAAGTCATACAACAAATTTGGATACGGGCCTCTTTCTGAACCCTATTACTCTAATCCTAGATGTTCAGAAGAAATCCTCTTTTTAGTACAAACTATGTGTTGCCCTACAATCACACTTAACAAAGCTACATTTTTCTTTCAAATAAATTTCAACTTCAGAATACTGATAAGCAAAATACTTAGGATTATTTGGGGGATCTAACAGTATTGTGAGTCTTAACAGAACAGTGTATTTATGTAGCAGGGTTTCAATGACTTATTTTTACATGTTTTATTTTTACTGGTACCCTGAATATGAGGAGAGATGGTGAAGAAGGATCGATCAATTAACTGAATGACTTGCTTCAAGCATGAAACTGATGATTCTGTCAATACTCAGGAATTGAGTAAGTTGTATTTCCTTTGAAAAACCAGTATTATTTTATCTTCTGAAAACTGAGATTTATAATTAATTATGTTCTAAATTTTGCTCTGATAACCAGGAAACTATGAGCTAAATCCATGCCCATCTCTAATAATAGTGGGCCTCACTGGAATGTATTTTATGTTCTGACCAGCTACAAGATTCATCTTATTTTGAGATCTTTATTTTTATGTTTTATAACACCTGTTGGCAACAAGTCCTGGGGGTTCTTGATTATTTGGTAGATGAGAAGAAAGGATTTTTTAGCAACTGTGCCTGAAACCGCAGGCATGAAAGAAGAGGACCATAGTTGGGGTTAGATATGGTAGAGAATTGGGTTAAAGATGCTGCTTAGCATGACAAACTTGATGGAACTTGAGAATGTTCTAAAAGCCCAGGTGACAAGAGTTGGAGAGTCAGTCTTCTCTGATCTGTCACAGAACACCATGCAGCTTTGGTATCGTGAGGACTCAGGAGCCTCAGGGACACCTAGAGCTCATATGGAGCACAAGACACAAACTGGTTCATAAGCAGAAATCCTCAAAGACGATTCCAGAACAGGTGCTCCGAAACAGGCCTGGTCTGGAGGACATGAAATAACTGGGGAAATTTGATGAGCAAAATGGGACTCCTGCAGCTATGAAGAGGAAGCAAAACGTGCTACTGAAATTTGGATACTAATGTACACACAAGCCAGAAAAGGCCGGGAACATTTAAGTTATCTAAAAATTCTAGAAAGGATCCAGTCTTTTGAAATACGTAAAATCAAATTTGTAAGGTAAATCATACATAAACCTCTTTTACAGGGAAATTCAAATTTTGAAGAGTAGCACTTAAAGTTGAGTTTCAAAAAAAAAAAACATACATTGACAAATTAAACAGTCATTTTCTTCAACTAAGAAATTTAATCTTATTTTTGTTCAAATTGGAATTTAAGAAATCAACTGGCATCTTTTTTAAGGTCATCTTCCTCAGCTACAAAAGAAAGCAATCCTTTTAAACTGTCACTTCTAAATAAAAAGTTGTAGATAGCTAAAGCCTAAAATCTAGAATTTTAAACATTGGTCTTTTAGGACATCTCTTTTAAAGAGGTGATATGGTCATATTTGGACTCCTGGTGTGGCACTGCAAGATAATGCAATGGACCACAAAGTTGGTTTAAAATGCAAGGTCAGCAGTTCAAACCCACCAGCCACCCCTTATACTCAGGGTTGCTATAAATTGGAATCAAATGTACAGTACTTAACAACAACAACATGGTCATATTCAATTTCTACTAAGTAAACTCCAATATTATAAACTAGAGATAGCATACCAACCATGTTTCTCATTTACATTTCCATACTTAGGAGCTGTGGTAGCTTAGTGGTTACAAGTCAGACTGCTAATCTCAAGGCCAGCAGTTCGAAACTACCAGTAGTTCCATGGGAGAAAAATAAGGCTTTCTGTTCTTGTAAAGATTTACAGCCTCAGAAACCCTATACAGGATCACTGTGAGCAAAAACCAATTCCATGGCACATAACCACCACCACCTTAATCTTTTCTATCCTTATTTAATGAGAAATTAAAAAAAAAAAAAATTCCTAACAAAATCTATTTTTTTTTTTTTTTAAACCATGACCCATAGAGGTTTCAGAGACCATAGTGGTCAGGGATAGTAAAACTAGGGATCCATATAACAACTCTCTGAATTTCAGCGACAGAAGATAACTTAATGTTCCGCATTTTAAATTTCAATTCTTATTGTATTCAGATAACATGATAACAGTAATAACAACACAGATTTTAGAGTATCAGGTCCAAGTCCTACTTTTGCCACTGGTCAAGGGATTAGCTCTCACTAACCTTCAGTTTCAATTGTTTTAATAGTAATAATAATGCTAAGATTCCTGGTGTGGCATTATAAGATCAGCACTGGACTGTGAACCACAAGGTCGGCAGTTCAAGCCCACCAGCTAATCCTCAGGAACTCTATACAGGGTGGGTCTCTATGAGTCAGAACTGACTTGATGGCACTTAAAAACAACAAACAATAATGCTTTAGATTGTTTATCTGTAGTAAGGAATATTATGAAAATAAAATAATGGTAACATCCCCAATGTATTAGTTACAGGAATACTGTGACAATGCATTTCACTATTCCATAATGCATTTCCATGGGAGAAATTTCTGTCAATACTCAAGAATAGATTTAATCATATTTCCTTTGAAAACCCAGTATTATTTCATCTTCTGAGAAACAAATTTCATAACTGATTGCTTCAAATTTTGCTTTGTCAGCTGGGAAACTGTAAGCTGAATCCATGCCTATCTGTAACAATAGTGGTTCTCACAGGAATGACTAAGAGGCAGTCGTTCAAGCAGGGGGACACTAAATAGTTTAAAATCAGAAAAGGTGTGTGCCAGGGTTGTATTCTTTCACCATATGCATTTGATCTGTATGCTGAGCCTACAATCTGAGAAGCTGGATTATATGAAGAACATGGCATCAGGATTAGAGGAAGACTCATTAATAAGCTGAGATATGCAGATGATACAACCTTGCTTGCTGAAAGTGAAGAGGATTTAAAAGACTCACTGATGAAGATCAAAGACCACAGTCTTCAGTATGGGTTGCACCTCAGTTTAAAGAAAACAAAAATCCTCACAATTGGACCAATAAATAATATCAAGATAATTGATAAAAGACTAACGTTGCCAAAGACTTCATTTTTCTCAGATCAGCACTTCATTTGCTCCATCAACTCATGGAAACAGCAGTCAAGAAATCAACTGACATACTGCATTAGACAAATCTGTTACACAAGACCTCTTAAAATGTTTACTGGAAAAGATTTCAGTTCGAAGACTACCATGCACCTGATTCAAGCCATAGTATTTTCAATAACCTCATATTTATGTGAAAGTTGGACAGTGGATAAGGAAGCACATAGAAGAATTGATGCATTTGAATTATGGTACTGGAGGAGAATATTAAAAGTACCATGGAATGCCAAAAGAACAAAACAATCTGTGTTGGAAGAAATAGAGTCAGAATGCTCCTTTGAATCAAGGATGACCAGACTTCAACTCTCATACTCTGGAAGTATTATCAAGAGTGGTGAGCCTAGTTCCAGAGGGTGCAGGGAAAGGTAGAATCTCCACTTAGTGATTCACAACCTGTCTGGATGGGACTGATAAAAGGAGATGGAGATAAGGCGCTTGTGGTTCAACAGTGAATAACTGCTATCAAGACTGATTGTGAGTGTTGCAAATGTAAAGGTAGACATTTTGGAACAAAAAGAGGGGAGTGATTGATTTTGCAGTCCAGGAGCAGAGGACCCTGGGACCATCAAGGGGAAAGAGCTGAGTGTGGGACCCTATCCAAAGAAGCAGTGATGCCAGAGATGGAGGCAGAGACAATGACGTGGAGAGATGGAGCAACTGGGGACCCTGGACCCAAGGAGGGAGAGGGGCTGTATGCTGACAGCTGGGGAGAAGGCTTGCAGGGTGTACCCTTTGGTTGTTTGATGATGCATGGAGCAGATTATATAATCATTGCAATGAAACGAAATATGACAGGATGAATGTAAAGCTGATATTCTCCCATGTAAGCTATCACTCAATTCACAACAAAAACTTAAATAATAAAAGAGTGGTCAGTTCCTTGAGACGGGCATCATGCTTGGTAAAGTGGTTGTTGTTGTTTGATGCTATTGAGTTGGTACCAACTGCTATTGAGTCGGTACTGACTCATAATGACCCTATGCACAACAGGACAAAATACTGCCTGGTCCCGGGCCAACCTCACAATAGTTGATATGCCTGAGTCTATAAAAACTCTTGAAGTGGAGGGTCAGCAAAATAGAGGAAGACCCCCTATGAGATGAACTGGCACAGTAATGGGCTCAATCATGGCAACAATTGTGAGACTGGTACAGAACCCGGCAGTGTTTCGTTCTGTGTGCACAGAGGCACTATGAGTCAGTACCAACTCAACAGCACTTAACAATAAGATTCATCTTATTTTACCATTTTAATTTTTCCTTAATTATGTTCTTATTTTTGTCAGTTTATAAAGACTATAGCATAATGAGCCACACATCAATTTGCCACTTAAAACTCAAGATACAGGCAAGGAAAGATGGAATGAGAAAGAACAAGGGTGAAAAGGAGCCTCTTTCACAAGGCTTTTTAGATGGTTAATTGAGATCATACATGTAACAATACTTGAATATTTGGTCAAATATAAAGGATTAATTATTAAGTACTTGTTTGCTAAGTAAAAGGATGGTAGTTTGAGTCTACCCAGAGGTTTCACAGAACAAGGTTTGATGATTCACTCCAGTAAAGATTAGTTGTCATTACATGCTGTCAATTCTGTTCTGATTCATAGGTACCTGTCGAGGGTTTCTGAGGAGCAACTGGTGGGTTTAAATCACCGACCTTGTGATTAGCAGTCTAGTGCTTATCCTACAGTGTCACAACAGGACTCCCCAGTAAAGATTACAGCCTAGAACAATTCAGTGGGGCAGTTCCACTCTGTCACATGAGGCGTTAGCAATTGAAAGTTGATTCAACAGCATCTAACAGAAAGGATTAATATGAAACCTAATAGTAATCAAAATGCTCTAAATAAGGTTACAAAGACAATACCAGGGTTAAAGTATGTGCCCTTACTCTGACCTAATTATCTTTCCATTATATGATTCAACCTATCAAAGGAGCAGTCATTAAATTTCAGGTACGCTGTTGTGTTTCACTAGGTTGAAGGGGAAAGCAAAGTAGCATTTTCTTCTTGACACTTACTTTAATTTTCTCTTTTTCTCCCTTATACTAAGCTTTGTATTATCACAGAAATTTCTGTACATGCCTCTACACCTAATCAGTCATGAATTTTGCTAACTACAACTGAGCAAAGAGTCATGAGTATCAGAATGAAGAACACTAATGCTAAGAACATACTGGGCAAGTAAAAGACAAAGCTGCATTGGAACACCCTTCTTTGGGTCAAGACTGTACTCCACTAGAGCCTGAAGAACATACCAATGATCAAGCCACCTTTTATGATGGTCACCTTACGTTTGTTCTTTCACTCAAGAAAATATGCTGCCAATAAACTCCATTCCTTTCACTCCTTCTCACCCTCCCATACAAATTTACTTAAAGTTTTCTTCTCTGAGGAACACTTTTTTAAAATACAATGTTGAGAGATCTGAATTCCAATGAATGTTCCATAGATTGCTGATAAGGTTTGGTGAGTCAATTAGTACAAATAGAAATGAGTCTCAAAGATTAAGAAGAGTAAAAAGCCTTAATAACCTAGAGGTTCATATAATTTTACTCAATGTTTTTAATCTGAGATTGTTAAATAATGAGGAATGTAATTTGAGTGTGTTTTACAATGCTGGGTGGAAGTATTTTAATTTAAAAGAATTCATTCTTAATTTAAAAGGAATTCATTCATTTTAGCCACAGCTGAAAAAATATTAGAATGATGCAATTTTCCTAAGCACATCTATATTTAAACATTATATATATAGTCATTGGTTTTTAATGTTCAGATTACTTTGTACTTGATTTTAAAAGTAAGTATTAAACTAAAAAATTTACATTTATTCTAATTAATAACTAAATTATGATCTATTTTATTAATATGTAAAATATCTCATGAAAAACAATCTGTAGGAGGCATTTAAAATTCATTCCACAAAGAGAATTAGCTCTCTAAATTCCTACATTGCTTTCCACACCAAACTAATTTTTCCTACCATTAGAAAAATGCCATGATTCTAAGGAGACGTACCAATTTCAAACTTTGTTCCAGCAACATTTGCTGTAATGCTCCCCTTCTTCTTCTTTCGGACTTTCCTTTTCATTGTGCTTTGATAAGGCAATTCTGCATCCAGATCCAGGTGAGACGTTCCCTGAATAACTTGAAAGGAAACATGAAATAACCAAATATCAATAAAATTCTAAAAATGCCATTCCAGAGAATACAAATTCTACCCCAACTAGGGGTAACTCTAATATTTTAAAAGTCTTTAAAAGTACTTATAAAAGTACTTTAAAAGTATTGACCAGTGAAACAGGCCTCTTGCAGACTCTCTGCAGTGTATAGAACCTTACATGGAATCCTGAGCCCCATCCAGAACATTCTGAGATGGGACATCTCCACTAGAAAGGACAAGCAGATCAGCCTGGAATAGCTCTAGTGAAAGAAGATACATCTTCAAAGAAAGATCATCAGGAAAAACCCACAACAAAAATGGCAGTATGACTGGCTACTACAAAAATAAGTTGTTTGCCAGGACGCTATCAAGGCAAGCAATCAAGTTCCTTGAGGACAAACACCCCTCTATGACTGAAACTCAAAGGGAACACATGAGCAGGTATGCAAGCTTGCTGGTGACCACACTGGTCTACTGGTGAGTGGAAGAGGGGGAAAAGCAGCAATGAAGAAATGGGCTGAGTTCAACCATGTTCCATAGACTCCCAATGACCTGGAGATGAGAAAGAGAAGAGGAAGGTTGGTCCAAAGTGTGGTGAGACCTGGGGACACCTGAGCCCATGGACAAGGACATTGCCAAAGAAGGCTAGAGCTGAGAGTGAAGCATCCAGCAAATATGAAGTGAGGGGAGACACACAAGAACACCCAAACTTGTACCCATCTGACCTAGCCTTGGTAGTCTGATAATCAGAACTCGACTAAAGGAAGATTAAAAAGAAAACAATTTTTGATAAAGGAAACAAGTGTAAATTGCTAAAATGTGAAGAACTTGACCTACACTCATGGAGGTAGTAGCTCAAAATACCAACAGAGAGGGAAGGAGTCTTCACATCAAGTATCAGTACTATCCCCTCTGTATACAGGGTAGATAGGGATGGGCAACTTAAACATTGGCTACCTAAAATGAGGGGGTGATAAAGGCATGAAGTGACTGGCTTACAAGTATTCAAGAGGGAGTTTAATTTAAGAGTGTGTCAGAGAAGATATAGTCCCCACTGAATCATTTTCATCTAGTCTAGATGGGTCTGGTAAAAAGAGATGAGGATAAGATTCTTAATGATTCAATAGTGAGTAATTGTTATCATGACTAATTGAGACTGTCACAATTGTAAAGGTAGAAGTTTTGTAACAAAAACTGGGGAGTAGTTAATCTTACAGTCCTGAATCAGAAAACCCTAAGACCATCAAGGAGAATAGCAAAAGTGGAATGCCAGACCTTATCCAGAGAAGCAGCAACACCAGAGATGGAGGCAGAGATGGGAACATGGAGAGAGGGAGCCACTGAGGACTCTAGATTCATGGGCAGAGAGGGACTGATAGCTGGCGGCCAGGAGGCAGACTTGCAGAATGTGCCATTTGGTGGTATAAATTATTATATATGCCTGAGTATTTAAAAAAAAATAAAATGAATTGAGAGAAATACTGTTAACTGATGGTACAAAGGTGGGGCTTAAAATCATTGTAATGAAACAAAGTATATGATTTGTTGGATGTAAAACTGATGATTACCCTTTGAACAATTTACAATAAAAACTTTTTTTTTTTTTTAATACAAACAATAAGGGAATATTGCATAGTTTAAAATTGGGATAGATGTGTGTTCGGATTTTATCACTTATTCAATCAGTACGCTGAATCCTGACTACCTGAAGCTTGACTACAAATGTGATATCAGGATTGGAGGAAGACTCACTAACAACCTGAAATATACAGATGACACAACATTGCTGCATGAAAATGAAGACTTAAAGCACTTGGTGATGAAGAACAAAGACTGCAGCCTTCAGTATAGGTTATATCTCAACATAAAGACAGTATCACAACTAGACCAATAAGCAACATTATGATAAATGGAGAGAAGACTGAAATTGCCAGGTATTTCATTTCACTTGGATTGATCTACAATCAATGCCCATGTAAGCAGAAGTCAAGAAATTAAACAATGTACTACATTGGGGAAATGTGCTACAAAATACCTCTAGAGTATGAAAAACAATGATGTTACTTTGAAGAGTACGGCATGCTGTCATGATGACTCAAGCCAAGGTATTTTGAATTTCCTTATGTGCATGTGAAAACTGTACAAAGAAAAAGAAAACTCAAGAAAAATACCATTGAATTATGGTGTGGTGAAGAATATTGAATATAGCATGGGTAGTCAGAAGAACAAACATATGTCTATAGCAAGAACACTATACAGAATTAAGAGTGGCTAGACTTTATCTCAGGTACTTTGGAGATATTATCAGAAGGCTGTAGTCCCTGGGGAAGGGCATCATGCTTGATAAAGTAGAAGGTCAGCAAAAAATGAAGACCCTCAGTGAGATGGATTGACACGACAACTACAACGTTGAACTCAAACAGAGCAGTGATTGCACGGATATGAGAATGGCACAGAACTGAGCAGTGTTTTGTTCTGTTGTACATAAAGGTAGCTATGACTTGGATTTGACTCGATGGCACCTAACAATAACAACATTTTTATTAAAGAATGTGCTGGATTAAAACAAAAAATTAGCAGTAATGATCTGTAACACATCTATATTTCTGTAATGTGGTTAAGTCAATCTGCTTACCTCCTTCATGAGGCAGAGATGGCATTATTGCCACTGCTGATTACCAAGTAGTCTGTGCCACTGTTATCAGCTCTCAGGAGATCTGGAAACCCACATTAGTCTAAGCAGGATATGGCTTCAAATCAGTGAAAGTTCTTATCATATTATTTTAGTGGAATCCTCAGATTTCAGAGCACTGAAGTTCTGGGATAAATAAGAAGGTACCTGTAAGGATTGTAAAACAAAACAACTGTTAAACGAAATATTTTTATATGTGCTGATATTATTATTTTTTAAAGTCAAGTTAAACAAATATCAGTAAATTCAATCAATAAATATTTGTTAACAATTAATTAAACTTTATACAAAATGCTAAGCAATGTTTCCCAGTCCTGAAGAAAGCATATACTTTAGTGAAGGAGGTTTTATTTAAATTGTATTATGTTTACATATAATAAACAATATACCCTATATACTAACAATAGTAAGGAGGTCTGCTAGCGTAATGGTTACAAATCAGGCTGCGAACCACAAGGTCAGCAGTTCGAAACTACCAGCTGTTCTGTGGGAGAAAAATTGGCTTTCTGCTCCCATTAAGATTTACAGCCTCGGAAACCCTGTACAGGGTCGCTATGAGTTGGAACCAACTCCAGGGCACTTCACCACCACCACCACTATCACTAACAACAGTGACATATTCACTGCCATGTATTGCACAATTGCTACCTTAGGCATTTATCATCTCATCTAACCTTTCAACAAACTTGTAAGGTAGAAAATTTTATCCCCATCTTATAGATAAATGGATTAAGTACAAAAAGGACAGACAATTTTGTCTGAACAAGATAGTGATAAAGTGACTAGAACTCAATGTGGCCTATATTATACTTCATTTATATTTTCATTGCATACACAGGAACTGTGGCATTTATAGCTTGACTAGTAGACAAGACTCAGCTCAGCCTTTAGTACCAAACTTTCTAATTTTACCCACGACGCTGTAGATAAGTACTTATAAAATATGTACAAATATTAATTACGGTTAAGTTGTGAGCAGGTACTATGTTAAGAAACTTAAATATTTTATTTCATTATCAAACCCAGAATTTTTAAGGAAAGAAAAAAATCAACCAAGGAAACACAGCTTAGAAATATAAAACCTAGAATTTGAACAAGATTCCAATTCTTTTTGATTATGTACTGTGTTCACTGAGCTTCCTTCACACGTTTCAGAATATCATGCTAATATGCTACATAGACCAGGACTCTCTGTCAGTTTGTTGTAATGTGGTAACTTGTGTGTTGCTGTGAGTCTAGAATATAAGCCACCAGTATTTTCAGTACCAGTATCTTCACCCATGGAGGACAGGTTTAAGCTGACTTTTCAGACTAAGACAGACTAGGAAGAAGGAGAGATGGACTACTTCAGAATATTAATCACTGAAAACCTTATGAACAGCAGTGGAACATTGTCAGACAGCACCAAAATTCTGAATATTGAAACAAGACGAAGAGCACCAGAATACTATCAGATAGAATGCTGAAAGATGAGGCCCTCAGATTGGAAGGCACTCAAAATGCAACTGGGGAAGAGCAACCTCCTCAAAGTAGAGTTGACCATGAGGAAATAAATGAAGTAAAGCATTCAGGACATTTCATTTGCCAATAGGATTTAACTCAAAATGAAAAGAAAATTAACAATCCATTAACAATCAAAACATGAAATGTATGAAGTATGAATTTAGGAAAACTGGAAATTGTCAAAAATGAAATGGAGCACATAAACATCAACACTGTAGGCATTAGTGAGCTACAATGGACTGTTATTGGTCATTTTGAATATGACAATCACATGATTTACTATGTCAGGAATGACAAATTGAAGAGTAATGTCAGCACATTCATCATCAAAAAGAACATATCAAGCTCTTTCTCTTCAGCAAGGCAGCCAAGCGGCAGACGCAGAGATGCAGATCTTTGTGAAGACACTGACAGGCAAGACCATCACTCTTGAGGTGGAGCCCAGTGACACCATCGAGAATGTCAGAGCCAAAATCCAAAACAAGGAGGGTACCCCCCCCCCCCCCCCCCCCCCCCCCCCCCCCCCCCCCCCCCCCCCCCCCCCCCCCCCCCCGACCAGCAGCATCTGATTTTTGCGGGTAAACAGCTGGAGGATGGCCGCACTCTCTCAGACTACAACATCCAGAAAGAGTCCACCCTGCACCTGGTGCTGTGTCTGCGTGGTGGCATCATCGAGCCTTCCCTGCACCAGTACAACTGTGACAACATGATCTGCCGCAAGTCCTAAACTCGCCTCCACCTCCGTGCTGTGAACTGTCGCAAGAAGTGCGGCCACACCAACAACCTGCGCCCCAAGAAGAAGGTCAAATAATGACTCCTCTCTGCTGGCTCCCCTGTCCCCCGCTAGTGGGGTACTTCTGAGCCCCATGGCCCTGGGCCCTCAGTAAAGTTTCACTTTCAATGAACGGAGAAAAAAAAAAAAAAGAACATATCTAGATCTGTCTTGAAGTACAATGCTGTCTGTAACAGAATAATATGCATATGTCTACACGGAAGACTTGGAAGTCAAGACCTACCTGGACCTGGCCAACTGACTGAAAGAAACTGTATTTATGACCATTCCAAAGAGAGGTGACTCAATGGGATGAGGAAATAATTGGACAATATCATTGATATCCCATGAGAGTAAAGTTTTACTAAAGGTAATAAAAAAAATTTTTTTTTTAAATGGCTGCAAACATACATTGACAGAGAACTTCCAGAAGTTCAAGCCAGTTTCAGAAGAGGATGTGGAACGACGGATATCATTGCTAATGTCAGATGGATCTTGGCTGAAAGAAGAGAATATCAGAAAGATGTTTACCTGTGCTTTATAGACTATGCAAAGACTTTCGATTGTGTGGATCATGGCAAGCTATGGACAACATTGTAAAGTATGAGTATTCCGGAACACTTAATTGTGCTCCTGAGAAACCTGTACACACACCAAGAGGTAGTTGTTTGAACAGAACATGGGAATATGGAATGGTTTAAAATTAGGAAAGGTATGCGACAGGGTTATATTCTTTCACCATACTTATTCAACCTGTATGCTGAGCAAATAATCCAAGAAGCTGAATAATATGAAGAAGAATGTGGCATCAGGATTGGAGGGAGACTCATTAACAACCTGTGATATATAGATGACACAACCTTGCTTGCTGAAAGTGAAGAAGACTTAAAATACTTATTGATGAAGATTAAAGACCACAGCCTTTGGTATGGGTTGCATCTCAATGTAAATAAAACAAAAATCCTCACCACTGGACCAATTAACAACATTCATATCAATGGAGAAAAGATTGAAATTATCAAAGACTTCATTTTGCTTTGATCAACCATCAACACTCATGGAAGCAGCAGTCAAGAAATCAAATGCAAATCTGCTGCACAAGACCTCTTTAAAGTGTTGAAGAGCAAAGATGTCAGCTTGAGGACAAAGGTGTGCCTGGCCCAAGCCATGGTATTTTCAATAACCTCATATGCATGTGAAAGTTGGACAGTGAATAGGGAAGACAGTAGAAGAATTGATGCATTTGACTTACGGTGTTGGAGGAGAATATTAAAAATGCCATCAAGTGCCAAAAGAAAAAATAAATATCTGTTGGAAGAAGTACAACCAGAATGCTCCTTGGAAGCCAGGATGGCCAAACTTGGTGTCTCATACTTTGGGGAAATTATCAGAAGGGTCCGTCACTGGAGAAGGATATCATATTTGGTAAAGTAGAGGGTCAGAGAAGAAGAGGAAGACCCCTAATGAGATAGAATGACACAGTGGCAGCAGTGATGGGCTCAGGCACAGCAGTGATTATGAGGTTGGCCCAGTACTGGGCAGTGTTTCATTCTGTTGTGCAGAAGGTCAGTATGAGTCAGTTCCAACTTGATGATACCTAACAACAACAATAAAGACTGAAGGAGGTCTGGTAGTGTAATGGTTGCCAACCAGGCTGCTAACCTCAAAGTCAGCAGTTCAAAACTACCATCCATTCATGAGACAAAGATAAGGCTTTCTGCTGCGGTAAAGATTTATAGCCTTGGACACCCTATATAGAGTCGCTATGAATCGGAATCGACTCCATGGCACACCACCACAACTGGTAAAACTAGTTAATACCATTATGATTCAAATTTACACAACAATCATGAAAGCCAGGGATAATGAAATTGAAGAATTCTAGAAAGTGATAAAACATGCAATCAGAATGAACTGATAGTTACTGATGATTGCAATATAAAGATTGGAAACAAAGAAGAAGGATCAGTTATTGGAAAATATGGTCTTGATGATAGAAAGTTTGCTGGAGATTCTATGATAGAATTTTGCAAGACAAATGACTTCTCCATTGCAATACCTTTTCTAAGCAAGATAAAAGACAACTATTATACACATGAACCTCACCAGACAGAATATACAGAAATCAAAGTGACTACATCTGTGGAAAGAGATGTAAGCCCCATATCTTTAGCCAAAATAAAGGCAGGGGCAGATTGTGTGACATACCATAAATTACTCATATGAAAATTCAGGCTGAAGCTGAAGAAAATGAAGACAAGTTCATGAGAGCCAAAATATGACCTTGAACATAGCCCTCCTGAATTTAGAGATCATCTCAAGAAGAGATTTGATGCAACAGATACTAAAAACTGAAGACCAGAGAGTTGTAGATGACATCAGAACATCATACAGGAAGAAAGCAAAGGGTAACTAAGGAGACAAGAAAGAAGGAAAAGACTAAAGTGGATATCAGAAGAGTCTCTGAAACTTGCTCTCCAGCATAGACATACTAAAGCAAAATGTAAAATATGAGGAGGTAAAACAGCTGAATAGAAAATTTCCAAAGTCAACTTGAGAAGACAAAGTCAAATATACAAATATGTAAAGACCTAGAATTAGAAAACAAAAAGGGAAGAACATGCTCAACATTTTTCAAGCTGAGGGATTTGAAGAAAAAAAGCCAAGCCTTGACTTGAAATACTGAAGGGTTCTATGCAATGGCACCTAACAACCACAAGAATATGGGCAAAACAGTGAATCATGCAGACACCATCAAAAGAAGATGGAAGGAATACACAGTCACTGTACCAAAAAAAATGGTATGTTTATCGCATCAGTATTCACAATAGCAAAAAACTGGACACAACCCAAGTGCCCATCAATGAAAGAA